CACTGGCACAGGTTGCCCAAGGAAGTTGTGGATGCCCCCTCCCTGGAAGTGTTCAAGGCCAGGCTGGATGAGGCTTTGAGCAACCTGGTCCAATGGAAGGTGTCCCTGCTGATGGCAGGGCGGCTGGAACTAGATGATCTTTAAGGTCCTTTCCAACCCATACCATTCTATGATACAATGATATGAGTAAAAATGGTACTTTTCTAACTAAAAAAATAGTAAAGTTCAGAAAAAGAACCTAGGAATTAACAGACAATAATAAAAGTTGTTATATAAATGCCAGCAAAATTGGTACCAACATGGAGATAAATACTCTTGGTCCAAACCCTGAGAAATCTCCCCATATAACAACATTTTAGAATAAGACCTCTATGGAGGTAATCACTTCCCTTTATCTACATGTTTTCTTCTGAAAAATCAGAGAATGCATTCTGGACATATTTATGCAATTATGTACCATTGAGATAATGAAGACTGCAAGGATTACAGATGTATTTAGAATTTTTACTGTAAACAGTCTGAAGGAAAAGAATATTCTTTGGCTAGGGGAAGTGTAGATATTTAAATTGTAGTTCATGACTGAGGCAGTACCAAGTACCTATGTACATCCATGTACTGAGGAATACTGTACTGCAAGTCCAAAAATTTTTTTCCTCCATCTACTGTTTGAAAAGAAATAGGCATTGTAGTCTTTAAAATAAATACAATTCCTGAATGCAACCAATGGCTACATCCCTTAGCATGAGGAGGAATGATGACAAGGCTGAGTGAAGATCCTGTAACTGCATTTAGAGCACACAGGACTCTTATTTCACAGCTCAACTTTTTGTAAAAATTCAAAACTGACACTTCAGAGAGAAAAAAAAAACAAACAAAAACAGTACCTTGGCAAGTAAATTTTTTAGAAGGAGTTGTGAGAAGAAGTTTGTCTGCCATTTCTCCAGGACCAGCACAACGTGCAATACCAGGTTCTTTGTATTCTGATTTTACCCAGTCAGATAGCCACTGCATGTTACAATCGCAATAAAGAGGATTTGCTCCAATAGCCCTATGGAAAACAGACAAACAGAAAGGGAATAAAGTTTTAAATGAATGCTTTTAAAAACAGAACCCAAAAAACAGGTTGGGAAAAAACCTCTTCAAACCACAAACCTGCCCTTCCTTCACCAAACCGACCCTCAGAGCCTGGATTTGTGTTCTAAATCAAGAAGTGACAGTATTAGCAGTAAACTTGGTCCAGAAACCTAGCTGTTCTTAGCTGTATTATGTGTGAACTTCGGAGAGCTAATACTAACAAGCTTTGTTTCACCGTTGGCATGTAATAGCCAAGATCAGCCGCATCAGCAGAATGAAACTGATACTGGAAAATTAAGTTAGCAAGATTAAAGTATTTCTTCCGAAGCAGCCAAGGCAACCCCACAGAGTTCCACCCTGATATTTTTCCTTTGCAGTTTATGGCTCCCAGGCTGGTACAAACCATCTGTTTCTAAGCTTCCAAATTTGATTTAATTATTTCCTCTTTGGAGCTCTCCCACTGAACTCACAATTATGTGCACAATTCTATAAGAGGTCTCTGCTGCACAAGTAGATAAAACTACATTATCCTAGTTTTGTAGGAGTTACATAAGAATTGCCCCATTATTAAAGCAATTCCATTTCCTTAAATAAATCTGATTTTTTTAAATTAAAAAACAATTTAGCTAGAGATTTTCAGAATTAATTTCTGTAAAGGTTTTTTAAGTGTCTATTTTCTCTACTAGAAACTATAAATACTCTTAAAACTCAGAACAATTATATGTTGTGTAGTTAATTTGGAGGACAGAAGCATTGTGCTATTCTATGAAGATGTACTCATATTCCTTTTAAGAAATACAGTAACTTTCAACAGATAATCTTGACATGTGCACACACTGTCAAATGGCAGTATTAGAACATCCTCCCTCTCCAGATGTTTCAGTACTTTTTTCAGATTGTTCCATAACTTTGAATCAGTGGGTCTTCCAAAGATACACAAAAATCTCTGGGAAGTAAAGGTGGTAGAAACTATCACTGCTGAAACATTCTTTTCTGCCACACTGAGCAGGAAGCCCTCTCTTAATTATTGCTACATACTTCCAGCTGAACACGAGAAATGATATATACTCGTTCAGTCAGGCTCAAGTCAGATCAGTAACAAAAATCAGATCTAGTGATAGATAACTTCCCATGCAAGGAGAAATCAAACTTCCCTTGTTGCAGCTTGTGACTGTTGACTGTTAGTCTTCTCTGATCACCTCTGAGAAAAATCTGTCTCCATCATTGCTCTAATCCCCTTAGAGGCTTAAAGACTATTAGGTCCCTCCTGAGCATCTCCTTCTCCAGGCTCAATAAGCTCAGTTCCTTTAGCCTCTTCTCACAGCTCACACAATCCAGCTCCTGGACCTGCTCTCGTTCATGCACATCTGCTTTGTACTGGAGAATCTGAACACATTCCAGATGTGGCATTAGAAGGGACAGCCAGAAGGGAGTGACCACTACTTTCAATCACCTGGCTGCTCACTTTCTAATTCAGCCCAGAGCATCTTTAGCCTTCATCACCATAAAGCACATGGCAGACGTGTTCAATTTGCTGCCCACCAGGAGGCCCAGGATTTTTCTGCTGAGCTGCTAGCTTCTGGCCAGTCCCCAGCCTCTACTGATGCATGTGCTTGTTCCAGAGCAGGCCTTTGCATTTTGCCTTTGTTCAACTACGTGAACTTTGCTAAATGTAACATAAAAAATATAGTTAAAATCTGAATACTCACAGGTGTGACAATGCTGAAAGATCATTAAAAGCTCCTTCAGGAACAACAGAAATATCATTTCCATGTAATGACCTTAAAAAGCAAATAAACAGAGTAATATATAAGCATGAGAATAAGCAGGTTAACTTTGCAAATGTCATTTTTGTTAAACAGTTTTCAGCTTTTCGTATTTTTTTTCTTCCAGTTCCTCAGTGTTATCAGCTGGGATTTTTTGTTTGTTTGTTTGTTTTTTTAAGCTCTAACTGGCAGCCTACTCATCATTTCATTTTTTTCATCCTGAATTTTTGTAAGAAATGTTAACATTATGATCCTTTTTAAATTGAAAGAATAAAGGTCAGTATAAGTAGGCACACTTCTGTAAATTACTGATTTGATTTAGGGATAGCAGAAGAGTTGTTATTTCTGACTCTTTCAGCAATTCCCTGAAATTCTCATTAATTATCTTCATTTTTTTTTTACTCTTTCATGGATTGATGGAAAATACAGGCATTGACTGTTTATTAAAATAAGTATTAAGGCTGTTGCCCTAATTTGATAGTAAAGTTAAAGAACTAAAGACCTTATTAAGCATCAATACCTGGACTAGTATTATCTCTCCTGTAGCAAACCTGCACAAATATATCTCTCTTTTTCTACTAATTCATTAAGTTATACGTATATCTAACTTATATAGAATTATGGTTCTTGAAAGGATCCACATTTATATAAAATAACTGGCATTACATGAGCACACTTAAATAATGCTGTGCTTGAGAGATTTAATCCAGCTAAGCTATTAAATGGTTAAAAACTACCCAAATGAAGGTGAAATTATATGTTCTGCTGGGGACTTTTGAGAAAGAATTTTTGCAGTTTTGTGGGTGGTTTTTTTTTGTTTTTGTTTTTGTTTTTTCCTTGATGACAAACTGAAGCTGTAAACTAGACTGAATGTGGTTTTTTTTTTTTCCTTTGTCCCTTTTCGTGCCCTTTCAACCACACTTTTGCTAGTGGCAAAATGGAAAGTTTTCTTGGAAACAAAAAGTCATTTTATTGATATTCAATAGTAAACCATGATGTAATGGTTTTGGAAATACTCCCATATTAAATGAAACAACAACAACAAAAAAATATTGTTGGAATAAAAATATTCAAAATTCAACTGCAAAAACCCCCAGATATACTGAAGAATTTGTGCATATAGTATTTTTGTTAAGACTTTAACGCTCATAACAAGAAAGAATGTAACACTAAAAAGAAATGTGGCCAAGATTAAAAAGCAGAAAAGAAAAAAGTGTATGTCTGTATATACAATGTTGTCCAGGATCATATAACAGCTTGTGCAGTATTTTGAGAGTATACTTCCCCAGTATGAAGCCACTTAGATTTTTAAGGCTACCTAATTATCACTTTTCAAATACTTGTTAGGTTTTAAAATCTAGTAACTTCCTACAGACTTGCTATCTGTCATACACACATAAAAATTCTGGAAAATAGCAATGGTCAAAAAATAATACTCACAACAACCTAAGTGATTTCAACCCATCAAAAGTCCGTGCAGGGATACACCTCAGGCGGTTGTAACTAAGAATTCTGAAAATATATAAAATACTGTCAGCAAGTATACCAGTCATTCAGTAAACAATGCAGAGCATGACCAAAACCAGCTTTTGCACACATAGCTAGTTAGGAAACAAGTTATTTTACAGCCTCCACAAAAGCAAGCTTTAATATTGGATAAATGCCCTTTCTTTCCACAACAAAAAACCCCACTGTAATGCTTCCAAAGAGTTACTGTTACATGTTTAAACTTACAAGGTGAGCAGCTGAGTCATGTTGCTGAAGCTCTGATTAGAAAGAGTGCTGATTCTGTTGTTACTTAAATCTCTATAAAAAATAAATTCAGAAATTCAGACCTTAAAATGATTGCCCCAGACCTGAAACACTGTAAGTTAAACTGACAGACACATTATTTTTATTAGTAGAAGTAGTATCATCATTGGTACCAATATTTAAAGCAGCATATATTTTTATTTTCACATGCCATATACAAGCCCAGCAAGTGTTTAGGTTGATCAATGAAAAGCATTTTCATTTCAACACAGATGAAAAAGCAGTGCAATGCATTCTTATACAACAGCAATGTCCATCATGCCATTGAGTTAATAATGCGATCCTATATGAACCCAGGTATAGAAATTAAAGTGACATTTTAAAGTGAAAATCATTCTAGTCATGTCCCTAATGACACCTAAGTAAATATCACCTACTACTTTACTTAATACTTGTATGCTGAAGACATCAAAGCCCAGAGATATTATTATAAAGAACAGTATCTAAGATTTACAGAGAAAGCCTTAACATCTTTCTTGTTGTTCAATATTCTAATGAATAAAATCTTAAGCATAAGTATGATAGAGCTGGAGTGGTATGCTGGTAGCTTCAAAGATAGTAGCTTCAAAGAAGCTTTGAAGAAGCTATATTAAATGTGAATACTGCTTGTTCTTCATTCTCATATTGTGCTTCAGTTTTCATTTTATCTTGACTAATTCACTATTGTTTACTGTACTTTGTGGTGAAATACAGCATTTGTTTCTGAGGGGACCTTGCTATTTTAACTTATGAGTACTGTTGAATAGCTATGCAATATACATGTCTCCCCTTGAAATTTCATGGAAGCATGTAAGACAATTGACACAATAATAAACTTATTAGGAAAGTATAACAGAGCAATCTATTCAAAAGAGAAGGAAAAATTTTGAAATAAATAATTTTCCCTGTTAATCTGGAACTCAGGAGACTTGTATGTAATTCCTTGTTTGGCCACAGAAGAACTTTGCATAGTCCTTTGGTTTGGCAAACTTTGGTTTTCCAGATGTAGCCGAGGAACATTCTCAACTTCATAACAGCAGTATGAAGATACATTCAGAAGAGATTACAGCAATGTGCCTCACAGGTCTGATAAATAGAGACTGTTAATACTCATCTTACTTGTATTTTATGTCCTGTTCATCTATAATTTATTGTATTACATTTGTCTGTATGAGACAAAGTATGAGACAAAGTGTGTATTTTCATTTTCTGATTAGGAGGTAAAGTTACAAAATTTCTTGCTATGTTTGTCAAAAATAGACCATGAGTACCATGGTTTTCTGTGATGGAAACCTTGTCACTATGACTCTAATTAACCTCACCTCTAGACATTTCCAGTCTCCACTGATACTGTTACTGCACACAAACCAATCCATATACTTGCTTCTTGTACTGAGGCTCTTTTTTTTCCTGTGTGCTGCAAGTTAGGTCTTGTATAACCTCCCTGAACAGTCCACAGAGATTTCCTCTAGGTTCTAGGCATTTGAGAATATTGCAATGGTTTTTTCCTGATGTTAATTGCAAAATACAAAAAGTTTTGGAAACATGTTCTTTCTAAATTTGTGACCGTGACCACTTTTGTCTAGCATGAGGTAAACAAAGGAAATCAAGTTCTTGTTTTTGAATGCCAAACCATTTTAAATTTTTACAGCAAAGCTCTAAACCCAGTCAAAAAGAAATTTAAGGGATTTTGTTACTCCTCTCCACTTTTTATTCTGATTATAATGAAACCACAAACTGCTTTCAGAATGTTACACAGTTCAATCTCAGCTGGTATAAATTTTTATGGTCCTAACAAAGGCCACGGAATTACAGCCATTTCCATCCACAGCCTTCCTGTTTCTCTCACTGTACTCTTATAAGGTACAGAAATCGTATTCAAATCATTCATGAAGTAGAGGTAATAACATTTACAGCAGCTAGTGATTTGCCTCAAATCACAGAGTGAGTCAGCAACAGAGCTGGGAGTAAGGCACTCTAGACAAGCTCTCTTCTTCAGTCATTAAAGCGTATATTGTGGCAGAAACAGAAGGGGTTACATTCAACTGTTAACAACAGCTGTGTGTGCTGTTCCTATGTGAAGCATACCATCAAGTGAAGCACATCACAGAATGTTTCTTTTGTAAACTAAATAATTCAAGCGCCTTTATGGAGCTGCATAACAAAATGCTGTACTACCCTAACATGTTTTGTAAGATCTTACATCTCTTTTCAGGTTAACTATACTTTTTGCTTATTTACTTTGTGATGTAATCACTGGAATGAAATACCCCTGTTTATAAAGTGTTATGAAGAATATTATATGTAGGATGTGATAAGCAGAATAAAATATCCTCCATTATATAATGTGGTTGGGTATTATATTTGCTAAAAGATACGACACATTTTATATATTTTATTTTTTTTAATAACTAAACCCAGGTATAATAAAGCAGGGGTTTTTTTGTTTTGATTTGGGTTTTTTCATTCCACTAGAGAATGTTGCTCTAAAACTACTTACATGAGTGTTAAATGCTTGTAGTTGGAAAGCTCTTTTGGAACAAGTGTAAATTGATTTCCATCCAAATAACTAAAATAGAAAAATAATACATAGAACATTACTTTTTAATTAAAACAGTAGCATCTTCATCCACTAATCTTAGAATCCAAAAGTATGTTTTATAACAAATGAACACACAGTATTTCTGTTTTATAAGAAACCTTGCATTTTGGTTTTTAGAGACACAACTGAGGACCTGCAGCCCAAGATCTAAATGCTATTTTATCAGACATACTATGAAGTAACAGTAATAACAACAAACTTTTACATAATACTTTCTATTACTTTGCAGAGACGTTGCAAGATGAGGTCTTTATCTTCTCCATTTTGCACACGCATACATGCAAAAAGTAAATTTGACTTTTGCAAGTCACATTAAGTGTGGATTTTGAGTTATCGTAAATAGAAACAGACCCTGACATTGCAGTGGTAATCCTTTACAGCAGAAACAGCAAGGGCTGGTCCCATCTCTAATAGCAAATTCATTTGTCATGCCTATAGTTCAGGTCACCTTCCCTAATTTCTCTTTGTATATCACATGATATATTAGGCATGACATACTAAAAGCCTGTTCCTATGGACTATGTTAGGGACTAAAGACAATAATCAATTACCCTTCACTGGAAAAGTTAGATTATTTTTTTTTTCCTCTTTGTAGGTTGACAGCTCCTGTATTATATCACTTGCTCTTCTTCTGTGCTTATAATTTTCAATAACAGGCTTGTTCATCCTTAGAGTTAACAGGTGCAAAGCCATCAAGCTACACTGGCACCTGAGTTACAGGAAGCTAACAAGCCTTGCCTAAAAAGCTTCCACTGTGCAGCCAGTCATTACAAAATGCAAGTGGGGGGGCTCTTCATGTAACCAGGGCAAATAGTTTACAGATGATAAGAAGTGCTGAATTTACCTGATTCTCTGACATGGAGCAGACAGTGGCAGGAAGATTATAGGTCTTTAGCTTCTCAGCTGGGGCAAATGAATTGCTGATGGTGGTATTATGGTGGCATTACTTGTGTCTCCCAGAACCCAAGTAAGAACTACACCGTCACTATCCCTATACAAAGAGCAGCCTCTGAAAAAGGCATTCTTAGACTAATTTTGAGCTTAATGTTTTTAAGTATGCTGCAGCATCTTTGGAAAGTTTTGTCTTGACTAAACAGATTGGGTTGTCTGCTTACACTACGTTAATGGCATTATACAAATGGTGGTGAATGGACCACAGGCTCATATACTTAATTATTAGAAAAGAGACCAACAACATTTAAATATTTGAAGATATAAGATTCTGAGAAAATTCTTTTATCAACAGATAAATTTGGATATAAAGCTTTAGCATTATTAAAACTGAAGTACTACAAGTATCCACTTGGCTGATAAAAATTCTTCCTTGTTCAAATGAAGCAACTATTAAATATTTTATAAAACACATGAAGAGTACATCTTGGAAGGGTTATGCATGCTAATGAACAAGAAGAATCAATCAGTATGCAACTGCTAACACGAACCACATCCATTATCCCTTTGAAAAATATGCTAAATTGCACGCTTAGACACTAATTAAAGCATACAAAATCGTACACAAATGAGTTTTCAGTCACAGTCAGGGTCCCACTTGCACTTGCAAAAGTATGTCTCTTTAGCTGCTTAATTCTACATTGCATTGAAGCCCCTACAGTGTCAAATTGTATTTATTAGGACAGACTATATTTAATGAAGTCATCTTCTATTCAAGGAAAAAACAACACCAAAACCTAATGAAATAAGTTATAGGTTTATATAGCTGTGTGCTAATTTGAGTTTTAATAATTTCTCTTCATTAATGACTAAAGCCTTTGGGATGCTATTAAGCACCAAATTAGTGGTGGACATTTCAGTCTTCTATATAATACCAAACAGTAGAACAATAAAACTGTTTTAGTGACTTAAGATACGCAGTTATGATGTCTTCTGAAAAAGCACTACATTAGTCAGTCATTATGAAGCATTAGTAATTTAATATTAAATACTTGCCATATGTAACACAAACCCAACTTTTTTCCTTGTCAGGAATTTTTATCTGTGACCTATCTGATTAAGATGTTGTCCTGGTTTTTAGCTGGAACAGGGCTGGGTTTTTTCAGGAGTTAGAACTGTGCTGTGTTTTGCTTTCAGCCTGGGACTTGTTATGAGAGAAACACTGACAACACACCAGGGTTTGCGATTTTGTTGCTGGAAGTGAAGGACTCCATGTTTTGTTAGTCTACAAGTGCAAGACCTAAGGGGGCAAGGAATATTTAAATTAATAAACTAAATTGGCATTTGGATATGCCAATGGGATATTCCATATCATATCACGTCATGTCCAGTATATTAGTGAGGGTCTCTTCCTCTTTTGGCCTCTCTAACTTTCGCTCAGGCTCTCATTCTTCCAGGATTGCAGTTTCGGTTCGTGATAGTTGCTCCTCTGGGATCATTATCTGGGAACAGGCCAGGCTTGGTTGGCGAGTGGTGAGCAGTTGCACTGGGTATCACTCATTTGGATATTTTGTTATTGTTATTATCACTGCACTTTTAATATTAGTATTATTTTAAGTTTTCTTTTATTTCCACTATTAAATTGTTCTTATCTCACTCTACAGTCTCCTTACCCTTGCCTCCAATCCTTTCCCCTATCTCCTGGGGGTGGGGGGGAAGTGGGTGAATGGCTGTGTTGGCTGCTAGGCAAGGGCTAACCCTGTGAAACTATCAGAGATGCAAACCAGATGATTAACTCAATTTTTAGGTTTATATTTTCCCCTTTAGAACACATAAAAATAGACTCATCTAATCTTACGAGTAGCTTATTCACTTATAATCTTCAAACAACACGTGAGGTAGCAAGCTTTTTCATATCAATGTCATTGTCCATCGACATATTCCAATTACATCTTTTAATCAAATGCAAACTTTACAACTTTTCTCATATACAAATGTACCAAAAGACTAATAAAATACCCCAGATTGTGTAAGACTGCTTGTATGAAAAGTAAGACTTCCTTTTAAAACCAGTCTTTCTGAAATATCGCAAAACCTGTGTTTATTATGAAAATATGCAAACACATTAATAGATTGTTTTCTTTTGGCTTTTTCATGTATTTGAACTTCTTCATTCCTTCCTAAACAATGGCCATAGATTAATCAGATTAACTGTTGCCCATAATTTAACCCATTGTAATATGATGCCCACATTCAGTTATATGATGGTTCAGTGGTGGGGATATAAATTGTGAGAGTGATTATTATTTTGTATACATGTACATGTATTTTTAAAGCTTGTCAGTAACAAATAGTTCTTAGAGCTCTGTTTTGTGACTTACACAGTATTGCTAATTCAAGTTTAACGTCAAATTACTCAAGATACTGTGCAAGTCTTTATATCTACAAAGTGGTATATTAATAAATTTCAACTGATCTACTGAATCCAATTCTTCATTTTCTTCCTTCCTCATTCTTGAACCCAACAATATAAATTGGATGTTGATTTTCATAAAAGGGAAAAAAGTGTGCAACTTACAGCTCAGTTACATCTTTTGGGATGCCTTTAGGCAAAGCTTTTAGGCCTTTGTTGCTGCAGCGAACTACTGTATCTAGACAAGTACATTCTGCAGGACAGCGGGACAGTGGAGAGCAGCTATTGTCATCATTTCCTGGTTAATAAAAACAAACAGGTGCTAAGTTTGCTGTACAAACATCACTTCAGTATTAGCCATAATATCCCACCTGGAATTTCTATAAGCAAACA